TATTCAACATCGTGACAGGTTGTTATTAATAACGCCGAAATCCATGCCTTACACGCATGGGGGACTTTATCTCGATCTCTAATTAGAGATAAGTCTACGCCTAACACGCGTTGCCGGTTAGTATTTTTCCGTAAAAAGGATACCAAAATCCATGCCTCACACGCATTAGAGACTTTATCTCGATCCCTAATTAGAGATAAGTCTACGCCTAACACGCGTTGCTGGTTAGTCTTTTTCCGTAAAAATAACAAAGTCTATGTATTTAAAATCATAGCATCAAATCTAAGAGGGTTCATTCTCTTAGCACAACGTTACATGTAAAACAGATCCAAATAATTCACATGCTAGCCCGACTCAAACGGTAGTCGGTAAAGGCTTATCAAATCTGTTGATGACTGAGGGTTTGCCAAAAATCCTATGCATGTTTTCAGGCCCATCAGCTTAATGGATGTGAGCCGAGACTTGAAACAGATGAGCTAAAGATAAGTCTCAAAGACTTAGCCAAAAATGCATGAAAGTCACCTCTGCATCTCAAGTCAAAACGCCGAGGTCAGACCCGCGTTGCAAAATCCACAACGCCGAGGTCATACCCGGGTTCCAAATTTAAAACGCAAGGGTGATACCCGCATCTCAAGTTCAAAATGCAGGGATCCACCCCCCGCATTCCAGAAGCAGGATTATGACGCATACCTTCACACAGGTCCTACGTGGGAAATCCCTTTAACCAAGATGCCTTCGAAGCGAGTGCATAGAACGATTCCTTTACGACAAGGAATCAACAGCTCCAAGATCAGAGTTGAGATCCAAAGTATTCCAAAAATTCGTCCTAGTCAACCGCGAACTTTCAAAAACTTTGGAGGGAGATCTGTAGACTGTCTAAAAAACACAATAGATAGCTGATCCTCCATCAAACACCGATGATGAAAGTTAATCTGACAACTTTCACACCCTAAAACAGCTAAGGCAAAGATCACTCAACAATGGTCCTTACAATGCTCTACAGAAGAAGCTATAAGTCATTAGCTCCTTCTAAAACGTGGAATTCACCCTCGCGTTTCAGTTCTTGAAACGCAGACGACCCCCGCGTTTCCAACCCTCAGCAAACAAAACACGGGCGGTCCTCGCGTTTTTCAACACCCAATGGGTACCCAACTCCGCGTCTCCAGTCTAAAACGCGGAGTTATGGTCCTGAACGCCAAACTGGGCATTGTTTGACTCATTCAACATGAGCTGAATGGTTCCAAACCGTTTTCCATGATTTGGGGGCGGTTACACCCCACTTAGGAGTGATTTAAGGGGCTGTTATACCCCCTTAATCCCCTATAAAAACGAGTAAACTCAACTGAGTTCAGGGCTTCTTTTAGGCTAGGTTTTTTGGATCTTGGACTTGGCAGTGAAGAGGAGATCTTCGTCATGGCAACGAGGGGGGATCGACGTTCATTCTTCAGCAACGTTCGACAACAGAGAGTTTTCATCCTTGGCTATAAACTGATTTCAGTTAAATCAACTCTTTCATAGAGTTTCAAACTCGTTCAGAGTTATCAACTCTTCCAGAGTTCTAAAACTTGTTTTGTAAGTTCTCCGCAACATCAAATCGTGAGGAGAAGACCATGTTCCAGTGAAACAAGACGTTCGGATCATCAACGAGAAGCAAACTCGACACGAGCATTCGAGGGAGACATCTCATCGCCACTGTGAAGAACCCGGACTTAAACAAAGGGGAGAATTCAGATCAATTCTCTTCTCTTTTGTAATCAGAATTCGAATTGTAATTAAGATCGAGAGAATACAAATCAAATTTCTTTCATTTTATTTACTACAAATTTTCCACCAAACAATCCCTTACGATTTGAAGGACTAATGAGCAATTATTGAGGTTTGAGGTACTAATACGAAATTTGTGAAGATTGGGGCGACTAATATCTGAATACCTCTGATGCAAACCTTTGAAGAGTGGCCAAAGACTGAAAAAGTTGATCGGCATGTTCCTCTTCAACTGATCTAATGTCATTTCCATGTTTGGACATCCAGAGTAACCTTCACCAATCGGACAACAGAACCTTTCTCCCAAAAGTTAAAAGGGTCGGAACTCCATGCCAATGCAGACCATTTTACAATCTTTGCCTTTTCAAGTCTCTTTACTCGCTTGTTTACCTCCGATATTAGAGGATGACTTAAAACCATCAAACAGCAACAACAGAAACCGACTCATGTGATCTCATGCTTCTACATTTTAGAGGAGGGTAACTTACACTAAACCCCCCAATGAACTTTTAGCATTTTGTAAAAAACCTCTATGAACTTTCATAATATCACTACACCCCCAATAACTTTTGCAGAAAACCCCCCAAATCTTTTTTAAAAATTGCATAATACACCGATAACTTTCAAAATGCATTTTTATGTTGTTTTCTAGTTCTAATTTAGTTTTCTAGTTCTAATTTATGGGGATTATTTGCAAAATACTGAAACTTGTGGAGGGTTTGTTGTAAAAACCCGAAGTGTCACTTGGAAAGTTCAGAGTGGTTTAATGCAAAACCCCTGAAAGTTTGTGGGGGTTTAGTGTAATTCACCCTTCAGAGAAATTGTATTAAATATGATAACTAAAGCGAATGTTTTTTGGAAAATGCTAAGTATACTACAAGACTTGTGCTACTCATATTGCTTAATTTGATTCTCAGCTTATGCTTAAAATTAATTCAATTTCCCAAAAGTCTCAATATTTCCCAACAAAAAATTCTTGTAATTTAATGCATATGATGATTTTACTTATATGCACTCGGCCATGTTATTGCCCTTAATATGTTTTAATCCAGATTTGTTTATATTTCTTTTCTTTTGTTTGGAAACGACTTAGGGGGTGTTTGGCAATCTGAAAGTGAATTTAAAATATGTAAGTTACTTTTTTTACAAATGACTTTTACATCCATGTCAGCACGCAAGTGAAATACAGTGTTTGTTTGAAAAATTAAATTATTATCGAAAGTGCAATGTGAAGATGACGTGGCAAAATAAGATTAATTAGAAAATATAATTAAAATCATTTAATTAAATTACTTACATTTTTGTCACTTTCATGTGACTTCACCACTTTTTTAGGGGAAGTCAAAATTGCATTAAATCTTATGTGGCAACTTTCTTACATCTCACTTTCATAACCACTTACATGAAAACAAACATCTTAATTGTTAAATGAAAGTAACTTTCTCACTTTCATCTTTCACTTGCATGCAAACAAACACCCCCTTATATATAAACTAGTATCGTTTGATAAAAAAGCTTGCACCTTTAATTTAATTAAAAAAATCTAAAAGGTTATACATGAGAATATTAACTGACAATCTCTACAACAATCTTTCACAAAAGTCATTTATTATTTAATACCCACATTCTAGACGAACAAACATTGGATATCCATATAATTAGATACGGATCGCATTATTTTGTATTTCTCTTTCATAATATCACTACACCCCCAATAACTTTTGCAGAAAACCCCCCAAATCTTTTTTAAAAATTGCATAATACACCGATAACTTTCAAAATGCATTTTTATGTTGTTTTCTAGTTCTAATTTAGTTTTCTAGTTCTAATTTATGGGGATTATTTGCAAAATACTGAAACTTGTGGAGGGTTTGTTGTAAAAACCCGAAGTGTCACTTGGAAAGTTCAGAGTGGTTTAATGCAAAACCCCTGAAAGTTTGTGGGGGTTTAGTGTAATTCACCCTTCAGAGAAATTGTATTAAATATGATAACTAAAGCGAATGTTTTTTGGAAAATGCTAAGTATACTACAAGACTTGTGCTACTCATATTGCTTAATTTGATTCTCAGCTTATGCTTAAAATTAATTCAATTTCCCAAAAGTCTCAATATTTCCCAACAAAAAATTCTTGTAATTTAATGCATATGATGATTTTACTTATATGCACTCGGCCATGTTATTGCCCTTAATATGTTTTAATCCAGATTTGTTTATATTTCTTTTCTTTTGTTTGGAAACGACTTAGGGGGTGTTTGGCAATCTGAAAGTGAATTTAAAATATGTAAGTTACTTTTTTTACAAATGACTTTTACATCCATGTCAGCACGCAAGTGAAATACAGTGTTTGTTTGAAAAATTAAATTATTATCGAAAGTGCAATGTGAAGATGACGTGGCAAAATAAGATTAATTAGAAAATATAATTAAAATCATTTAATTAAATTACTTACATTTTTGTCACTTTCATGTGACTTCACCACTTTTTTAGGGGAAGTCAAAATTGCATTAAATCTTATGTGGCAACTTTCTTACATCTCACTTTCATAACCACTTACATGAAAACAAACATCTTAATTGTTAAATGAAAGTAACTTTCTCACTTTCATCTTTCACTTGCATGCAAACAAACACCCCCTTATATATAAACTAGTATCGTTTGATAAAAAAGCTTGCACCTTTAATTTAATTAAAAAAATCTAAAAGGTTATACATGAGAATATTAACTGACAATCTCTACAACAATCTTTCACAAAAGTCATTTATTATTTAATACCCACATTCTAGACGAACAAACATTGGATATCCATATAATTAGATACGGATCGCATTATTTTGTATTTCTAGGTATCTCTTAATGATGTGAAGATTTGATTACTTTTTCTTAGGAATGGTCGCATTACCTAATCTAAGGCTATCCAGTTAAATATCTGTTGAACCTGAACTAAATCATAACAGTCATTGTCTATTAAGATTACACATACTATAGCTTGGGTTTTCAAAAAAGTGGTTGCCAGTGAGAATTATATTTGAGTTCACGTTAAAATATTTGCAGTCAACTTTGCCTTCCTCGCTTCCCGCGGTCTTCAACTTTGGGAATCCCTCTCCAGGTTTTATGCTCTCTGGTTTCACTAATGATCAACCGACAAGCGCCCAACAACTTGCTCTCTCTGTTAAGTCTCTCTCTGCCACATTTGCCTATAAATATGTATAAATATATGATCCTGTTCTTGCCACCAAAAGCAGTCACAGCTCACAAGAACAAGAAGTAGAAGAAAGAGGGTGCCAACTACATCACCACTTGCTCGATCTCAAGTTGCTCAAGGTGAATACAGAGTACCCATAAAAATGTATGTACATAACCAAATGCAATTATGGTTTTTTGCAGTCTTTATACGTAACGTGGGTTATTGATACATGTTCTCTGTTTGATCTCAAGACGGTGTTTGCATTATTTGCACTGAAATGGAAGGCAACCTTTTTATGATAGCGAGCATAACTATAGCAATCTTTGCTTCCTTCTTGTTTCTTCGACTCAGTCGAAAGAGGAAGCCCAATAAAATTTCAGTCAAATTGCCACCAGGAGAAAAGGGCTTGCCTTTAATAGGCCATAGCCTCAAATGGTACAATGCTGTTTCAAGTTCTAACCCTCCAAGCTTTGTGAAAGAACAAGTTAAGAGGTATGTTACTTAACAACATTTTTTTATAAAATTCCTATTAAGGACGAACATCCATATATCTCTATTTTATGCTCAGATATGGGAGGATTTTTACCTGTAATTTATTCGGAAGACTGGCTGTGGTCTCTGCTGATCCTGCCTTCAACCGATATATAATGCACAATGAAGGAAAGCTATTTCAGTCAAGTTACCCGAAATCTTTTCGTGATTTAGTTGGAAAACATGGCGTTATAGTTGTCCACGGGGAGCAGCAGAGAAAACTTCATGGGATTTCTATGAAGATGATGAGGCTTGAGAAGCTCAATTCTAATTCAAACTTCTTGGGTGAGCTTCAAAGGGTGATGCTTCAGATGCTTAATAGTTTTAGGGATGGTGAGGTTATTGTGCTTCAGGATGTCTGCAGGAAGGTATAATTGGAATATTCTTCATTTTGTTTTTAAATTTTTATAAGATTTTGGGATTGTATGTGACGAGGATGAATTGTTTGGTTTTAGGTGGCTATTAATTTGATGGTTAATCAATTACTTGGGGTTTCTAGTGAGTCTGAAATCAATGAGATGGCCTGCTTGTTCTCTGATTTCGTTGATGGTTGTCTTTCAGTTCCGATCAACTTGCCTGGATTTGCTTATCACACTGCCATGAAGGTAAAAGAAATCGATCGATCTTATAAATTCTTAGATGAAATTATCAATATGCAAATTACTCATTTGTAATTTTTTATCAAGATGGTAGCATATGCAACTTTTTAACGTGTTGATTGCATATAGACCCCTGAAGTTATATTGCTGTGGATAGACACCCTGTACTATCGCCCAATTTTGAATAGACCCTTGATTGAATTGTTTTCGACTCCTTTACACTCAGAGCTCTATTTATGAGAAGACAATTTTACTTCCTCTGAGTGTAAAAACTCAAAACATTTCATTGAGGGGTCTATCCACAACATTGGAACTACAGGGGGTCTATCTGGCGATAGCACAGGTGGTCAATATGCAATTAACACTATTTCAAATTTCTCTATTTCCGTAAGACTATTTCACAAGTGAAACTTAGTTCAAATAAAAGCCCGTGAAAAAACAAGAAAATGAGTTCTATCTGTGATGAGAATTTGCAGGCGAGGGAATTAATCATTGTGAAGATCAAGAACAAAATAGAGGCTTGGAGGCATCAAACTGAATCAGCATCCAATTTTGGAGTTCTTGGAAGACTATTAGAGGAAGAAAGCTTGCCAGATGAAGTAGTCGCAGATTTCATCATCAATCTGCTCTTTGCCGGAAATGAGACGACTGCAAAAACGATGGTTTTCGCTGTCTACTTTCTTACCCAATGCCCTAATGCACTAGAACAACTACTCGTGAGTAGGGGGGGAAATTCTGTCTTTTTCTTTTCAGATTTAAGCTGTTGAGTTTCTAACATATTTTTTATCAGGATGAGCATGAAAAGATAAGGAGCACGAGAAACGGGGATATTCTCGCTTGGGAGGATTATAAAGCCATGACATTCACTCAGTGTGTAAGTTATATTTCTAATGTAGGAGTTTCAATTGTGTCAACAGTTATCAAAGAGTGATTGTAATAACATTGTAAAATTGTGCAGGTTATTGATGAAACATTAAGACTAGGAGGTATAGCAATATGGTTAATGAGGGAGGCAAAAGAGGATGTTCAATATTATGGTATGGTTATCATTGCCATGTTCCTGTTTAGTTAATTGTAGTGAATTTGCATCTATGTTGTTATTTGTTACTTTAATATGAAGGAACTCTTTTAATTCTTGTATTTAATTTGTGACAGATTATACAATTCCAAGAGGGGTCTTCGTGGTTCCCTTCCTCTCTGCAGTTCACTTGGATGAGAGCATATATTCAGGAGCTTTGCAATTCAATCCATGGAGGTGGATGAAGGAAGAGAACAGGGTAAATTAAAATTGGATAAGATATGTATGTACATACACATGCATATAAATATGCATGAACATTATTTCTATGGAAGTTATTTTTCTTAAAAACTTTGGTGCTTACATTTATTTTTTTATAGGAAAAGAGAAATTGGAGAACTAGCCCATGTTTTTCTCCTTTCGGAGGAGGGGCTCGACATTGCCCAGGGGCTGAACTTGCTCAACTTCAGATTGCTTTCTTTTTACATCATTTTGTCACTAAATACACGTATATATCTACATCTTCATATAGTTTTCTCCGTAGGAATTAGTATATGTAGAAAATAATTTTAAAAACCAAATTTCTCTTGTGATTGTTATTCTGCAGGTGGATGCAACTCAAAGATGATCGCATGTCATTCTTTCCATCGGCCAGACTCGTGAATGGACTTCAACTTCGTGTTAACAAAGTTGCAGAGGCACCATAGCAATGTTGATCATGACCATACGCTATTAATAGTTCTAGAGATTATATGGTACTGCATACTCTATACATAGCTTATAGTGTACATATATACTTCCCAAATTTCAGGGAATAATACCTATGGTACTGTACTATTATGTTTTCCTCTTGTATTATACAATGAGGTATTGTATTACAGTCAACTGATAAAAATGATAGTTATGTTTTGAGCTCTGAATGAAAATTTTTTACTAATTCATTTGGCCTATATAAGTGACATATCAATATAAGTAAGTGCTATTGCATATTTTTCATTAATATATGATTATTGTAACAATTACAATCTGCCAAGTGTGTCGATTTATAAGTTTGTCATCCAAGCGCCTATCATAAGATGGGATAGCAGGCGAATGTACAAAATTTCAGATTATAACTGGCAATGCTCATATTAGTCAACTTGCGTGAAATTAAATTGTTGAAGAACAAGCGATCAAAATATTCGATGCAAGATTGTATAATTCCATTTACTTGCCCAGTTTTTTGGGAATTCTGATCAAGATTACAGCACTCTCTCGCTCTGATAGCAATCCTTTATGAGGTCAGATTGATAAAAGACTAGCTTTTTGGAAAGGAACGTCTCTCTAGAGAAGGCTTAAATACTTCTTGTATAATTCCGTCTCTCTTGATAATCGAATGTCCTACCTTGAAATTTAAAAGGCGTGTTGAAAGCAAAGCGGTCGAAACACTTAAGTGTCCTTCACTCAAGACACATAAACGTCTTCACTCCTGACCAAATGGTGGTCGAGAACTTTTATTGACAGTGATACTCTTTTTTGTCAAACTTGTGCACCATAAAAACGTATCATATATACTCAGGATGTGTCTTGCTCCGTAGCCGGTCATGTGTCCCCGTTTTAGAGAAGTGTTTATAAATCTAGATCGACTTTCCTTTCCTTCAAACGAATGTAGAGGATGGTGACAGTGTTGGATTTTGATTGGATCATCAAGTTGATCGTAGCAATGTTGCGCCTCTCTTCCCTAAGCACCTATAAATGGCAAAGAAGCCGATCGAGGACCTAAACTGTAATAGCCCCAGATAAAAAAAAATTATAAAATATATTAAAAAAATAAATAAACAAATACATAAAAAAAATCGGATGTCGATGTTTCTCACCGCCTTCCACTGTCGGTGTTTCTCACCGCCTCATAGTAAAATGAGCTTTGCTACAGGGACCCAAAATATGAGACCAATAGAGAGGACAAGTGAGGTGTCTCCCTCCTATTAGATAATGAGTTGGTCATCATTAATGATGGCCAACTCATTATCCAATAGGAGGGAGACACCTCACTTGTCCCCTCTACTGGTCCCATATTTTGGGTCCTTGAGAAATTTTTCTAGTAAAATATATAGGAAGGAAACGGGGAGCAAATTCAGGTAAAAAAAAGCCGTATGAAATCCCTAGCAGCTCAAAACTCCTCAGTCATTCATCTCTCACAACTCACCTCATCATTTCCAAATCATAAACCGAACAATTAGGAGAACGAAGGAATAGGAGAGGAGAGGAAGGTGAAGGATCGCTGCAATGGCACTCAAACACTAGAAGGGGGGGTTGAATAGTGTTTATGAAATCTAATGCGGAAACTTTAAATTTTAATAAAATAAGAGTAAGAAAGATCAAACCAATGTGTAGACAATCACAGAAAATTGCATACGCAAACACAAGGATTTATACTGGTTCGGTCCTCCAGACCTACATCCAGTCCCCAAGCCTCGCTTGAGATTTCTCCACTATTTCCACTTGCAAAACCGCAAGCACTTGCAACCCGCAAGCAAACCGTACAACCTTGACAATCTTTAATTGCCAATGCTACAACAATCTCTTCTTTCAAGAGATTATCAAACTGAAACAAAATGGTACAACTCTTTCTCTTCCTATAAGCCTTGATGTGTAGATGTGAGTGACTAGCAATAGGCTATAGGAATGGTTTTTGTTCTAGAGTAATGGAGTTTTAATCAAGAACAAAACTAAAAATAACACTCAGTTTTTCTCTTCGAAAATGGAGTTAAGAACTCAAGAAAAACTCAAGTTTATGGAAAGGAATCTTCTCCTTTAACTTCAGAACTTAACACCTATTTATAGGCACAAGTTTAGTTCAAATTATTTCAAAAATAACTACCAAAACGTTCATAAAACGTTCAAATCATTTTGAAAAAATAACAGTTAGAAATGACTGTATGGTCGACCAGATTGAGGCCTGGTCGACCAGACAGGCTTCCTGGAATTTTTCTGTCCGAGTCTGGTCAGTCCTGGTCGACCAGACAGGCGATTTGTAAATTCTGTGGTCGAGACTGAAGCCTCTGGTCGACCAGGTCCATATCTGGTCGACCAGACAGAGAAATTTCTGAATCTCTGTATCTGGTTATTATATCTGGTCGACCAGACATTTCTTTGGTCGGCCAGAAACTATGTTATACATATTTTCAATAGTTTAAAATGTTATTCATTCGTTGATTAGACTTAGGATTATACTTAGAATATTTTCTATGATCTTCTAAGTGAGTAGTGTGTGTTGTGTGTGTGATCAAGGCTTGTACAAAGATTCTAAAAGAAAAGACAAAATTACATCACTCTTGTAAAGTATATTTTCTTCTTGAAGCGCGAAGTGACTTGATTAACTTCATCTTTTTAATCTTTGAAATCTTGTCTTTGATATAGCCTTAATATCTTGATTGTTGCTTTGAGATGTATATCTTGAATCTGCAGTAAAATATGTTAGATAAACAATGATTTGTTATCATCAAAATACAAGAGATATTGTAACATTAACCAAGTTCTCAACAATCTCCCCCTTTTTGATGATGACAAATAATATTGAAAAACTTTAATTAAACATACTTACTCCCCCTGCAACAATGCATACATGTTAATTTAACACACACAAAAATAGCACTTATTAGTAATCCTAATATTGTATAACAATGCATACATGTCAATATTTCAATATTGCAATAGTTGTCAATATTTCAATATTCTAATATATCTCCCCCTTTGTCATTAACAAAAAGAAGAATAGAAAGGGAGATAATAATAAATAATGAAATAATTAATACATTTCTTCAATACAACCTAATATTTCTTCAACATGGCCTAAAACTTCAAATAAATCTTCAAGATTATGCACATAGTCCATTACATCTCCCATCCAAATAGGAAGACATAAGCTTGCAATGAAAATTAAGTTTTCTATGGGAGTCATATTGAATGTATTATGTTGTTTAAGAAGAAATATTTCTCTATTTATAACCATGGAAGTAGTTATTAGAGACTAACCATCAAGTAGTTATTTAAGAATTGGTTAGAAGAACTAAAATATGAGTTAAAAAAAAATTTATGAAACATTTCTCTTATGTTAACCAAGATAAATAACAAGAATATTTGCTAAAAATAAAATTCATTAAGCAAAAGCAAACATACTTGTTCATTAATAACTAGCAAAAGCAAACATATCAAACATATTATTAATAAGAGTTTTAGAGTTCATACTGACCGTTCCAATTCCTACCACTTGACCCTTATTGTTGTCACCGAAGGTAACGGTTCCTCCATCTTTAAGTTCTATGGAAGAGAATAAGTCATTGTTCCCGGTCATGTGATTGGAACATCCACTATCTAAAATTCATTTTTCCTTTTTATTAGGTACCTGCAAAATAAAAGAAATATGTTTTGGTACCCTTTAACTTTTGGGTCCATGAGATTAGCATTTAGGAAACCAAACCTAATAAGAATTTGGTTTACCTACATTATATGAAAGATAGTTTTTAGAATCACAAATATCCTTTTTGTATTTTGATAAGTATATCTTTCTATCACTTAAACATGCATTTTTAGGAACCCAAATGTAGTTGGATTTTAAAATATTCTTACATGCAACTTTTTTCATATGCATTTTTCTATTATTATGTGAAGATACCTTAGAACTAGCATGCATAGATGTATCACTATGTGCATGATAATTACTTTTCACAAATTTAGAATATAAATAAGCATGATTTTTCTTTTGCATAGAAGAGTATATTTTCTCATTACTGGAGTTAGAAACATATCCTAATCCTTGTTTACTCTTAGCAGGTAATTGATAAGAAAGTAGATTATCTAGATTCTCTTTTCCTTTGTTAAATTTACCTACATTCATTAATATAGTTTCATATTTGGTTTTAAGACTTTTAACATTATCATCCAAATTTGAAATACGAACTTTAAAGAAATCACATTCTTTTTTAAGAAGTTGATTGTGACTAGATAACTTGTAATTTTCAGAAAATAACTCTTTATTCTTCTCTTTAAGATCTTCTATGTGTGAAGCATAAGGAGAGACTAAAGTGTTATTCAAATTTTCATTTTCATTTTTTAATATTTTAAAAGAAGAATTTAGTTGCTTGTATTTCAAAAATAATTCGTTAAATGCGTCAAGTAACTCATCATGATTACTTACTTGATCATCATCAGATTCATTTGCCATAAAGCACATATTCGCTTGATGATCTTCTTTTTCCTCTTCTTCATCTGAAGATGATTGGTCACTATCATCCCATGTTATCGACAAAGCCTTCTTCTTTTTGTTCTTCACTTGTTCATTCTTGTTCTTTGTGAACCCGTTGAAATTGTTAGAAGACTTCGACTTTAACTTTTGTTGTAGGGGACAATCTTTCTTGTAGTGTCCTGGCTTATTACAACCAAAACAAGTGACTTTGTTAGTATCTTTGAATTTACTAGAAGAGAACTTACCTTTCTTCAAGAATTTTCTGAATTTGCGTGTGATTATTTCAAACTCTTCTTCGTCATCGGAATCCTCATCATCAGTAGATGCTTGGAAAGCAAGAACCTTCTTGTTCTTATCTTCATTATCCTTTTTCCGATCTTCAAGTTGCACCTCGTATGCCATCAAATTCCCTATCAAATTTTCTACTGTCAATGTGGAGAGGTCGTTGGCTTCCTCTATTGCGGTAGTCTTCTTTTCCCAATCCGAAGTAAGAGCCCGGAGGATTTTCCTAACCATCTCCACTTGTGTATAGTCCTTTCCTAACGCAATTAGGGAGTTGATGATGTCGGTGAACCTTGTGAACATTTCACCAATTGTCTCGTTGTCTTTCATCTTG